GCAACTGGTCAGCAACTGCGGTGGTCCCTCCACAGCCAGTCTCACTGACCTGAGGAGGAGTCCCCTGCAGCCAATCCCGCAGCAAAACTTACCAACTGGTGAGCAGCTGTGCTGCTCCCAAAAGTGGCTGCAGCACTCCTGGAAGTGGCCGCTACATCCAGTGCTCCCACTCTCTGGCCGGTGCTCACAGTGCGGACATCAGCACTCCTGCCTGCCTCTCCTGCCCATCGCCTAAGTGGGGAGCGCAGCCAGTCAGGGGGTGCACCAGCACTCTCAGGGGGTGCACGTGCACCCCCTACACGTCGCCACTGCCAGGGGCTACAGCACACTCAGACAGCCTGCCATCCTCTCCCCTCCCCCTGGAGGTGAGTAGCAGAGCTGAAGGCTGCAGCATGACATGCTCAATGAAGGCCCCCTCCCTGCATCACCCTGGCAGGCTGGCAGCGATTCTCCTCCTTCATGGCAGGGGAATGGGTAGGCTGTCAGCAATCAAGCCCCAGGGCTGAGCAACCTTCTATCACATCCCTCTGGTTGGTGAGAATGCTACTACATAACTTTGCAGTGATTTATGGTATTCTAGCTGGGGGGGTTCTGTACATCTGTCCCTACCTTTAGCACTAAATTTTTGTAGCAGTTCTAAGTGCTGGGGCACTTTTTGCACTAAAAATCTAGGTCACACCTATACATGTGCCTGACATCTGCTCCAGCGCTTTCTAATTAGAATGAGTCTGTATATTAATTGAGTCTGCTGGAATGTGCTAATTAGCATGCTTCAGCAACCTCAGTGTCACGTGTATTCAGTGTCTCCATGCTTCAAAGTGGTGGTGAACAAGCTTTAATTAAAGCACCCTGCCACCATTTTGAAGCGCGGGATACTGAATACACAAGACGCTGTGGACGCTTTAATTAGAGCAGCTCCAAGAGTCGTTCTAATTAAAGTCCCTCCCTCCTCCTCCCACTTTACTGCTTATGTGCTCATACCCTAATGCCAGTCTATGGCCTGAGACAGATGATTTGGTGTGGGTGTTAAAGGCTCTATGATGACTTGGTTCTCCTCAAACCATCTGAGCTGTTTCTGAATGTGAGGATTCACCAAGTTTTGACTTTAAAACAAAGTTCCACTTGAGCTTAATGCAAAAGTCAAAGCAGCACGGAGTGTTTTTGAAGCACAAAACATTTTCCCCATACTTGTATACTTCAGAAATAA